GGGCCTGTTATTCCATGTCCTTCAATTATATTTTTCAGTCAAATGTCGGTGACTTTTTCTGGAATAGAATTTTAAAGGACTGTATAAGTTTAAAAAAAAGTTAGAAAATCGTTCTCTTGCGTTCTGACGTCCTTTAGAAAACGTGAAATCGGCCAATCTTCACGATGTGATCGTGAACGACGGCAAAGACACGTCCAAAAAGGATTGATGTACGTGCGAAGTTATTGTTTTGACAAGTTACACCTATCGCGTTGTAATATTTTGAATGAATAATACATTATGATAACACATCAGCTCGTAGCTTTCTTTAAGTCCTCACCCTTTTCCTGTCAAAGAACTAGCTCCAACAGATTCTTGATACTTGAACGACTTTTCTCCAAGTTTGGCAAAGAAATTGATGAGGTTTATCTCTTGATAATTTCACACCATTCCACGAAAAGAATAAAGCAAACAAATTTGTTTATGAGTTTGCCTTGATCCCCCGGGGCCTTGATATTGCCCTAGTAATGTAGCCATCTACTTTTTATGCACAATTTTTTTTGTTTCGCATTAGCGATATCTCGCGTTACTTTACCTTTTGATATTTGTCATCCAGTGGCCTTTTTCGTTCATGAAACGAGTTCTTTTGTTTCGGCCGTACCAAGAGAAATTGAAGACATTCCTTCTGCAACATTTTTAGTGTTCCAGTCCTGCGGGCGTGGTCGGGGGAGCGGGGGTGGGGTTGGCGAAGTACTTCATGTATGATGGGCAATGTGAAAATGGTGAATCTGTCTTTACACTGATCAAAGGTGAGTTTGCTCTATTCATTTCATAGTCATAATTCAAGTTGAAATCTGCCTTTATTTAGTTAGAGGGGCAAAGCTGCGGGGTGTAATAATTACAAGCGATTTATCATGGAATGAGCACGTTAACGAAACTGTTAAGACAGAAGCCTATATATGCTTCTTGTCAAGATCAATCCTACTTTATGCACGCCTGTTTTCTTTTATGCTCTGCCCAAGTATTTGCAGAGTAAGCTGGAGCGGGTCCAAAAAAGGGCATTATCAATCATTTTCCCCAGTCTGTCTTATGACGAGGCACTAATTATGAAGCTGGTATTCCAACCATTATTTCATATCGCGAGGACATATGTGACAACATTTTTAACACTGCCCTCGGCAACAGGGATAACAAACTTAATAACAAGTTATTAACTGAAGCCAACAAGGCTCCATACTCACTAAGAAGTCACAGACACTTTGCACTTCCAAAGTGGAAGACGGATCGTGCCTAAAGTACAATTAAATGATTCGGTTTTAATGCTTTTATACTGTTATATGCATGAATTTTTAATATTTTATTGTAAATTAATCTATTTTTAGCTTAGTTTTATTTGCAAATACGCAATTCAGCCTCTGGCTGCCCATGTATTTATTTTAATAGATTATCCTTCTGTCTATCTAACATTGGAAAAGTGCAACGTTTGAAGATTCCGTAATCAAATTGGTCCAAGTTAGTTTATAACCAAGCTATTATCAACCGAAAGATAATTAAGTTACCGTGACTTCATTCCATGGTCAGATCATTCCAAGTCAGATAGACTGTTGCACATTTTCAGGGTAAAACTCGACGTAAGGCGACTTTTTTGGTTTCTTGGCTTAAAGAACGAGGTATGCGTACAAGTCATTTTTTTGTGCTCGTGGCGGCTTAAAGACTCGTGAAATGGTCAAAAGGTCAACTGTTGTGCAACAATCTGAATGATCTGACCATGGACAACGTCATCATTGTCTTAATTTGGAGATTAGTGGTGAAGAGTAAACTTGGTTCACTCAGTTTGTTAGCTTTAACCATTAAACTTCAGAGTCATTTTGTGTTCGGCAGTTGTTCTGCGAGTAAACAATGCGATTTTTTATATTTTATTGGCAGCAAGCTAAGGACAGTAAATTCCTAAATGATAGGAATGCTATTGAACGTTGTGCATGGTCAGGTCCAAAAAAGCAAACAAAAACATATAACAAAGGAGTCTAACAGGTTTCATAACCAGTCTCCTTTATTAACTATGTCTGCGTGTAGGTTTATTTCTCTTGCGTCAGTGTTAGAGAACGAGTTGGAGAATGCATGGGGAGAGTTCGAGGAGGGACAGTGATTCCTCCTCCCCTTCTGTTTCTTTAGTTCTTTTTTTCTCATGCTCAGACTTCTCACGGTCAGAGCAACCGTCACAAAGAGCTATGTACAACATAGACATTAGAATTTGTTTGCAGTTTAGGTCTTGTGTACTGCTGGCTAAGCTGTGACTCGAGAGTGGTAAGTTACTAGGTAATCAATCTGACTACCAGTGTTTCTATTATTTCCTCTTCAGAGAGACCCTGGGAACGAGTTTTCTTGGTACTAAGAATCCTTTATTGTTTTTCAAGACTAACACTTTAAGACATGAGTGCCGACGGCAAGTATACCGAATGCTGTTTAAATCTGAACATGAACTCATCCATAGAGGAAAGAAGACTTACTTTTGAAGAAATGGCTCCCAACTGGGATAAGGTATACAGTGCACTAAATAACCTTATTTCCCCTCTGCCCTCCAGTTTTCACCATTCTCCACTATCTGAACGCCTGGAAGAGGCTGGCCG